CGACCCTTTAATACAGTTCCTCATGTTGTGGTGACCCCCAACCATAAAATTATTTTCGTTGCTACTTCATAACTGTAATGTTGCTACTGTTATGAATCGTAATGTAAATATCTGATATGCAGGATGGTCTTAGGCGACCCCTGTGAAAGGGTCGTTCGACCGCCAAAGGGGTCGCGACCCACAGGTTGAGAACCTCTGCTCTAACCTCAGCGCACGCATGCACGTGTGTGTGTGTGTGTGTGTGTGTGTGTGTAAGATTGAGAGAGAACTGCTCACACCCTTTACAACCTTCTACTTCCTCACTTATCCTCCTTTTCTCTCTCCTCTCTCCCCTTCCACTCCACATTCTGTATCTCAGGGTAATGGGCTGGCTTCTGGACTAAATCGGCTCCTGCTTTAAGGAGGAAAGGAAGGCCATTCCATGGTCTCATAGGGAAAGTCTAACATGAGGTGGGTTGTGCTGGTGGGTCTACGTGGGGAGGGGGTCCCAGGGAACGGGGGTGCCTGGCACTGTTCTGCACTGTGGGGAGCTCCCCAGCTTTTTGGAGTATAGAATAGCTTTGTGGGTAGCTTTCTCTGGGGACTTGGCTCTTTTTCTTTTCTCCCCTCCTCTCTTATCTTTTTTTGGTAGCTTCCATAGAACACTTCGTTAATGTGTATGGCCTCAATCTGAAGTTCATTATAGTTTAGATTGCGTAGGCTGGTCTGCAATTAACCTGTGTATTATTTATAAATAAAGAAGCAGTGAATAGTATGACAGGGAATATTTAAACTGCTTAACTGAATAATTGTTTTATCCAGCTGCTTAAAACACCATTTACATATAATTGATGTTCTAATTATACATGATTATAAATTTAATCCTTAAAGCTGGCCTCTTGATGGATCTTAGCTGAGCTACACTGCATTAGCCTAGTTCTAGTTACTGTTTATATTGAAATAATACAGCTATTTTCTTTGGATTTAGTGTACAATTCTGTCCTCCCCAAACCCCCTACTAATTAGTGAGACTCAACTTTAGCCCAGGCTGTGTTCTAGAGATCACAAACCATAAAATATGGGCGTCTGAGTTAATTTATCTGTAATGATATACTGGAGCCATGTACAATATAAGCCGATTTTTCAACATCCCTTTAAAATAGGTAACATTATTATAGCCATTTTATACTCAAAAGAATAGGTTTAAGAACTCGCCCAAGGCCCTGCATTGACTCTGATGCCGAAGTGGAGAGAGGAGCCCAGGAGATGGACCCCCAGAGTCCGCCCCTCACCACAGTGTTCACGCCGTTGTGAGCTGTATTCCGTGAGGAATGCCTGTAGAGTGATTTACAGAGCCCTGAAAGATAGCAAGTGTGCTCATGCGCAAACACGCAAACACAGGATAGTTATTATTCTGATCTTTTGAGATCAGGCCTGGTCAGCCAGAGCTGAGGCTGGAGGTGGGGCAAGGCATTCAGGGGTCCCAGCACGGCCAGTCCAGCCCTGTTTTCAGTTGTCAACACAGACCCTCAGGGCTCTTCCCCCAGATTCGTTTATCTTCTGGCCTTCACACATCTGTGCCCACACAGTTAAAACTATTAGCTTCTTAACTGGCCCACTCTTGCTTTGCTTTTCCACTGAGCTCCCATCCAGTGGGCCTGGGAGACTGACGTAGCAGGACTCGGCACTTTCCTTCTCTCTTCTAAAAGAAACCAGATCGTTTTACGGTGAAGCCGAGTGTAAGATAAGCAACAGGGGAAAATGACACTGCTTGTATGGCTTTGCCAGAACATTTCGGATCACCTAACCAAAAAAAGCCCAATACGTAACGGGAAGCAGTGGAGTCAGCGTCATTTTCTCTCCCCAGGGAAGCTCTCCTCTTTGCCGCCATCATAAACCCAATTGTACTTGATAAGGAAAAAGCAGTCCTGGTTACGATTTAAACTCAATGTTATTAACAGATGGCCCGCCTAGGAAGCTGCTTCTTCCCCCAATCAAATGGCCATTTGGTGCAGTGGGAGGTGAGGGGAGGATTCCAGAATGACTTGGCTTTCTTGTAATTTTTCTGGGCTGTATACAATGCTGGAATCACATTAATGTGACCCACACACATGCCAATTTAGGTTACACTTTTAAAGAAATAGTTGGTTAAGCTTTATGCCTTGGAGAGAAGCTGACTTCAACTGATTTTTTTTTAAGGTAGAAAGTTCAACTTAATTTGGTTTTAACACACTGTTTTCTTTCCCTGTGATGTAACTTAGTCAGTACTAAGTTTTTCTCTTCTTTTCAAACAGTTTTAGACTGGAAAAGTTTACAGCTTAGCTGCAGGGAGCAGTACACCTTCCATTTACTTACCAGGAATGGTAAAGGACTTTGATAAGGCACGGCAGCTGTGTGCATTTACATCGGGACCCTTTCGGGAATGGGAGTTAACCCCGTAGCTGATGTCCCAGAGCAGTGACTGTTTATAAAGCTGAGAAGGTTATTAAACTCAGATCCCAGTGCTTAGCCCATATTTCATGAGTGAGGGCGTGGCAGTACCGAGTTCCTCTTTTCTCATTTTATGCTCCAAGATTTTAGTCCCAAGGTGTAGCTACTAAATTATTTTTTTCATTTATTATTTTCATTGTGGTAAAAGTATACATAACAGAAATTTACCATTTTTACCATCTGTCATGTGCAGTTTAGTGGCACTGAGTTCATTGAGGTGCAACCGTCTCCACCCTCCACCTCCAGAGCGGTTCCCATCACCCCAAGCAGAAACTCTATCTATTAAGCAGAGTTAGCTCCCCAGCTCCCGGTCCACATTATTTTTAAGGGTGTAGACCCAGAGGAACGGAGCTGCAGGAGAGGAAGGTCCTCTACCGTCTCCTCCCGATCGCAGGCTCTACCTGCCGTGCTGAGCTTTCATCAGTCTTATTACCGTATTTTCTTTTAAAAAATAACCAGTGAACTTGAAACAAGACAACTGGATGAGAGGATGGTCCTCTTGGTCACTGTAGTAAAAGTATATTGGTTTCATCAGGTCTTTGTTTACAGAAAGCATTTCATTAAAGGAGTTGATGAGCATAGCTCCCTGCAGGGGGACCTTTCCTTAGGGTTCCATGAAGTCACCTAACGATGGTAGCAGGAGCTTTCAGAGGGACTTATGGGTGGGACGGCTTTGGTATTGTGTCCACGTGTGGTCTCCATGGCAGCTGGCCCCCGACTCACATCTCTAGCTCTCTCCTTCTTGTAATCTGAACGTTCCTAACTGCATCTCAGCAGCCCCAACTGATATCCTTCCGGCCTGTCGCGCTTCATACGTTCAGAATGAGCTGCACTTTCCTTTTCAAAGCTGGGTCTCCTGACTCAGTGCTGTCTACCCGTCTGATGACAGCTCTTGGACCTCAGTTACTGTCCTGCCGTCTGATGACAGCTCTTGGACCTCCACGGGTCCCTCGTTTCTTCTTCCCGTCTCTGCTTCTGAGCTTAAGTATATTTTCCTTCTTCCCCCTTTCTCCTTCCATATCCAGCTGGTCACTAATCCTCCTGTATCTTGCTTCGTTTTGGTTCTTCCTCTCATTCCCATGTTGTATTCTATGAGCATCTAGTGCCCTTCTTCTGACCTCTCAGGTGCTCACTAAATGCCAGTGAATGAATAAAAGTGAATAAAAATTGAGGTCACCAAAAAGCCAAACATGTTTCTCCGATTCCCCATGGCACCAGGCCCTTTAAATCTTTTTGGTGTCCTTTCCGAGGAAACTGCCACCTATCTCTCCGTCTTAAAGCGAGACAGACATTGGAATCTTTTAAAGCGACCATGTGACCTTTGTTCCGTATCCTAACGTGTTGTTTTGAAAACCATAGCTGATGCCGTGAATAACGCAGCTGGCTTTGGGTTCAGCGGAGTGGATCAGAATGGAAATTTCTGTTGGGATCTGCTTTCTAACCTAAACATCTGGAAAATTGAGGTGAGTCTATTGTGCTTCTGAATCCAGCTGTGATCGCGTATAAAGCAGTGGTTTACGTTGAGTGCAGTGTCCAGGGGTCTTCTTCATCGATGTCCGTGGAAAACTGCTATAGGGAATGCCAGGGCCAGCAGTCTCTGGGACTTGGTGCATCTGGGAATATTTTTCCTCTTTGTTTTATTTTCTTTTTAAAAGATACTTTCTTGGTAGTTTTAATGGTTCAAGGAATAATGACACAAGAAAATCTGAAAAAAAAGCCAGGAAAATCTTTTTTGTTGTTTCCATTCCTGTGCTTTCAACTTGAAGGTACAGAATCCATTTTCTCTTGTTCACATTCTACTTCCTTCAGTCAAGAACACAGACTGGCCCTAGCCGGTTTGGCTCAGCAGATAAAGCATGGTCTGCGGACCAGAGGGTCCTAGGTTCCATTCCGGTCAAGGGCACATACCTTGGTTGCGGGCTCCTCCTGGGCCCTGGTCGGGGCTCATGCAGGAGGCAACCAATCAATGTGTTTCTCTCACATTGATGTTTCTCCCTGTCTTTCCCTTTCTCTTTCACGCTCCCTAAAAATCAATAGAAAAATATCCTCAGGTGAGGATTAACAACAACAACAACAACAAAGAACACAGACTGGAAGCTTCTGCATTTAGATTTCAATTTTATAAGTGCTCTTTGTGGTTCCTTTGGAAACAGTGATAATCCAGTTGCGTTTCAGAAGAATTGCCATAGCACAGAGCTTTCAGGCCTCCGGAAGCAGTGTAGTTTTTCTCTTCCGCTGGCTTTGCTCTCCTATGTCGTCATCATTGCAGGTGGTCTCCTTGGGGCCATGTCACTTGGCTTCCTTGGCCTTGTCAGCAGTCAGAGCTGATAGGAAGACCACGCTGCAGACCCTATTCCCCTGGCAGCGGGATGGAGTAGGGCATGGTTCTCCGCAGGCTGAGTGTTGGTTCTTCCGCCAGGTGACTCGGGTTTGTGGCTGGAAGGGGATATGCAGACAGAGCAAGAAGCCAGGGCCGTGGAGACTTTCCACCTGCTACCCACGTTGGGTGGACACTAGGCCACAAGAAGTCTTGTGGGGGATACCTTCCACCTTCTTGATGCCTGAGTCTTCTCTGCATCTTCAATGGACAAGCTCCAGCCTCCAGAACAGCGGTTCTCAACCTGTGGGTCTTGACCCCTTTGGGGGTCGAACGACCCTTTCACAGGGGTCTCCTAAATACATCCTGCATATCAGATATTTACATTACGATTCATAACAGTAGCAAAATGACAGTTATGCAGTAGCAACGAAAATAATTTTATGGTTGGGGGTCACCACAACATGAGGAACTGTATTAAAGGGTCGCGGCATTAGCAAGGTTGAGAACCACTGCTCCAGCACAACCATTCTCATTTTCAGAAAAGCAACATAGATAATCTCCATGCGTCTCGTTCCTATACAGATGATGTCAGAGGGAGTCTGAAGGTGTTATGGCTTGCCTCCCTATTTCCACCAAAATTCTTCTCTCCCTCAAAACTCTGGGACCAATGCTGGCTGCTGTGGGTGAATGTCCTTCACGGTGGTTCCCTCTGACCTCCGGCTGCCCCCTAGTCTCCTCCACTGTGCACACAAAGACAGTCATTTCACTGGGCATGTGTTCAGGGTGAAGGGCCAACTTATTAAGTTACCTATTTGTTATAAAGGAAAACCAGAAGGAGGAACTTTGCATTTTCAATCGAGTTGATCTAGAGGAAGGAGCTAAAGAAAACCAAGGAAGTCCGATTTAGTTAAGGTTCCTACAAGCTGTGTGTATAACATTTTATTAGCCATAGATGATATGGATACATAGAAGTCCTTAGAGTTTTGAAATAAAAACTCATAATACAAAATCTGTCTATTGACATCTATTGATGATCTCTCTTCTTCTCTCCTCTTCTTTCTTTCTAAACATATTACATTAGGCCAGTGTGTGACCTAAGATTTTCTTATGGTTGAAACAGAAAAAGTGGCACTTGTACTTTCCACCTTCATTAGGCATCTGGTTCGTGAATGTTTGTTTCATGCTTTCCACCTCCAACCAGCCTTTGATAATACCTTTTTTTTTTTTTTATGAGGAAACCTTTTTCATGGCTTGTTTTGGAATGTGTCTTCCTCAGAGGTTGATTTCTTTGTGTCATTGCCAGTTTGGTGATATTTCTTTCTTTTCTTTTCTGTATTGTGACTCCTTCATGTGTAAATTTGTTGAAATAAAAACTCATAAAAAATCTGTCTATTGACATCTATTGATGATCTCTCTTCTTCTCTCCTCTTCTTTCTTTCTAAACATATTACATTAGGCCAGTGTGTGACCTAAGATTTTCTTATGGTTGAAACAGAAAAAGTGGCACTTGTACTTTCCACCTTCATTAGGCATCTGGTTCGTGAATGTTTGTTTCATGCTTTCCACGTCCAACCAGCCTTTGATAATACCTTTTTTTTTCTTTTTTTTTTATGAGGAAACCTTTTTCATGGCTTGTTTTGGAATGTGTCTTCCTCAGAGGTTGATTTCTTTGTGTCATTGCCAGTTTGGTGATATTTCTTTCTTTTCTTTTCTGTATTGTGACTCCTTCATGTGTAAAATCTCTCACTATTCTAAATACAATGGGAAGCATTTGAACCTGTGCAGCTGTTTGTAGAATAACTTCACAAGACTGACCTAGTTTATAGATGGCAACACAGTGAAAAGGTGACAATAAAATTGCAGCTGTCTCCATAAAGGCACTCAATTCACACGATTAAACTTTTCCTAGGGCAAATCCCCTTTTAAGGTATTTAGTTTTAAAATTCAGATGACTTAAAAAATTTTTTTAGACCAGAGAGGATGGAAAACCCACAAAACATTCCTTCAAGTTTTCCTATAATTTGAAAATAAATTGAGAAAAATTGAGACTTTGCAAGCCAAGTGTTCGTCAGTCTCATAAACATCAGGATGTTCCTGCCTTCAGTGGAACAGCTGATGTACTCTTGACCGACTAGTCACTAGTGAAACAGCACATCTGGTCTGCTGCCAGGGAAATTCTGGGGAGGACTTTCCATTACTTGGGGTATTTTTAAAGCTAATGATAGGTGTTATTTTCTTCTTTTCAGACTGCTACAAGTTTCAAAATGTACCTAGGAAACTGGAATATTCAGACAGCTACTTGGCTAAAGCGGTAAGAAAAACAAACGCGACCTCATTCCTCACGGCACTGGGATATGTTTAGATGGGAGTTGTTGGATGAACAGCAGTAGTAGTAATGTCATCTGACACTTTTGTTTTGTATGAACATCTATGCCCTCTAAGTAAAAAAAAGTAGAAATATAGTGATTTGAGAAGATCAAACAATATGGCATGTTTATTTTAATGTATCAGACGTTTAATCCTGCCATTCCTATGTACCAGGCACTCATTTAATCCTATGAGATGTTGGTAGTTATTATCCCCATTTTGCAGATGAGCAAAATGAGGCACAGAAAGGTTCTGTAACTTGCCCCAAGTCACACAGCTAATGAGTAATAGGTAAGAGCCCAAGCAGACCATCTGCAGAGCCAGGCTCTTAACCTCTGTGCTGCGCTACCTCTAACCTAGAGGACAGCCTGTGGATCAGATGTCAAAGACGGACATTGCCCGCATCTAACCATTGAAATCCTGGTATTTATCCCTCGCATTGAAAGCTTTATCCTACCCCAGATGTTTGTGCTTTTAAACTTTGTATTTTTATTGATATTTCTGTTTCCTTACACATTCCAAAATTAAAAACATTGCTTATTATGGAACTGATAATATGTTATCCGGGGTAATATGCTATCCTTGAAACTCTAGCTAGTGAATATTCCTATCATATAAGTGCAGGGAGAGTATAGAAATGCGAAGCTATAGATTCTGCTGTTGGTAAGTAGCATTTTTCTTAGGTGAAAACTGGGTAAAACAAGTGACAATGTATAGTAATTCCCCCAAAGTAAGCTCCCACAGTGTTGTCTGAAAATTGATCTGAACATGCAGTTTTTGGAAATTTATCCTTAATATTATTGCTATTAATTTTGCAAATAATTTTTGAATATTGAGTAATCCCAATGTACCAAGAGTTTTAGTCTCCATTAGGAGTTTGTTTTAAGATGACTGAACATATATGTATGCACATAAAAAATGGAAAAAAAATATAGAAAATGATTTGATTTATAAAAAAGATAAAGAGGGTAAGAAACAAGTACCTATGCAAACTATTCCTCATTTTAAAAAGAAACATTATACAAATGGGGTCCCAGTCCTGTTTTTCGCCCCAAATGCATTGTTTTTCCATGAAGAGGGAGCCATATCCTTAGTTTGGGTTTAAACCAGTTACCTTTGACAATCTATATAGTGCAGGATTGGTGTTAGCTGTTTGAGTTTCTATTTTATGTTCCATTTGGGTCCTCTCATTTATTAAACCTTGTAGTGGCCTCCTTTCAGTGCATTGGCAGTTCTCAGACTGAGCTTGGGAGAAAGCCCTGCTACTTTGTGTTAATAATCAACAAAGACGCCAACGCTCTCCAGGGTGTTTTGCTGACAATTTCTCAATCCACACACTATCACTTTTTAAGGCAGCTTCATGGATTGAAATCTAGTGGGCACAGTGAGAACTGAAAGGCCCTACAACTGACACTTTGATTTTGGGCTGGAGTCATTCCCAAATGAGGTGAAAAAGGTTGCAGAGCTGGTTATGGCACAGGGGCTAGGCTGAAAAGGTAAATTAATTTACACTAAATGAGGCTATCCGCTTCTAAAGAACCATATCCTGATTCCAAGGTATTTAGTGCCAATGGCACTTATTTATCCATAATTATTCCTGGTAGATTAGATCATTGGTGGCAGGGGCTGACCAGAGCCTGACCACTTGGAGTTTATTAGATACTAGTGGCCCGCTGCACGAAATTCGTGCACTTGGGGTGGGGTCCCCCAGCCTGGCCTGTGCCCTGTCACAGTGCAGGATCCCTGTGATCCATCACCCCAAAGAGGTAGGCCCTGCCCACCCATCCGGGGCTTCTTGATGTATTGCCCCAAAGAGGCAGGCCAGAGCTGGGGGAGGCCTGCGGACCCCCTGGCCAGGCTGCGGCAGAGGCCTGCAGACCCTGGTGCAGGCGCACGGAGACCCCTGCCTCAGCCCTGCCCCCAGCGGGCCACGGTGGAGGCCTGTGGACCTCTGCGTGCCTCAGGACCCCTGGCGCACGCGCTGCAAGTCCTTGCCCACCTGCGCCTGCTGTGCACCTAGCCTACTGATCGGTTGTTACTGTGACGGCGTCTTGACCAATTTGCATATCACCCTATTATTAGATAGACTAGAGGCCCGGTGCACTAGGGTGGGGTCCCTCTGGGTGAGTGATGGAGAACCTATGACACGCGTGTCAGAGGTGACACGCGAACTCATTTTTTTGGTTGATTTTTCTTTGTTAAATGGCATTTAAATATATAAAATAAATATCAAAAATATAAGTCTTTGTTTTACTATGGTTGCAAATATCAAAAAATTTCTATATGTGACACGGCACCAGAGTTAAGTTAGGGTTTTTCAAAATGCTGACACGCCGAGCTCAAAAGGTTCGCCATCACTGCTCTGGGTGGCCTGCAGGGATTGGGCCAAAACCCATAGTCCAACGCCACCTGCAGCTCCTACCTGCCGCTCCTGCTCATCCCGACCCCACTGTGCTTGCCGCGGGCGGGCTCATGTCCAATCAGTCCCGACCGGGAGAGGCTCTCCCTCCATGAGCCCTGCGTCTGGTGCCCTCCCAAGGGGAGTGGCCTGTGGGATCGGGCTGAAACCAGCTCTTCGACATCCCCTGAGGGGTTCTGGATTGGGAGAGGGCACAGGCCAGGCTGAGGGACCCTACCGGTGCATGATCAGGCCGAGGAGGGATCACAGGAGGGCTCCCAGGGCATGTCCGGTCCATCTCACTCAGTCCTGTTCGGCCGGACCCCAGCAGCAAGCTAACCTAGCGGTCAGAGTATCTGCCTCCTGGTGGTCAGTGCATGTCATAGCAACTGGTCGACTGGTTGACTGTCTGCCTGCTGGTCAGTGCCTGTCATAGCGAGTGGTTGAGCATCCTTAGCATATCATTAGCATATTATGCTTTGATTGGTTCTGCCATTTGGTCTATTTGCATATTACCCTTTTATTATCTAGGATAGAATAATGGGGTCAGATCATTTACTTCTTTGGAGGTTAAAAGTTCATGTGAATTGCCTACCTGATAGTGTTCAAGAAAACTCGAGTTCAGGCTGCTTAGAATGCATTGCAAATCCCTGAATAGGGTTAGGCAGGCAGGTCATCAGGAATGGAGCAAATGATTTCTGTAAGTCTGATTCGAAAAGATGCCAGTGTAGCTGGAGGTTTCTGGTTTGTTTGACCTGTGGCTGGTCGTGCCTGCCTCTCTTCACAGAGTGTGCTACGAGCGTGTCCCCTGGTACCCCACAGTGTTCACCTTCATCCTGTCTGCCCTGTGGCATGGTGTCTACCCTGGGTACTATTTCACCTTCTTAACTGGAATCCTCGTCACAGTAGCAGCCAGGACGGTAAGCTTGCTTTGGTTGTGGGGTCTTTTCCTTAGGAATGAAATGCCTGTATGTTTGTTGTCATTTAGTCCTATTAGGAGTTGGGGGATGAGAGGGCAGGAGTGATGTTTTGAAAAAAATCAAACAGAAGTCTTTCCATTAGAGAAATACTTCAGTATCTAGGAGGTTGTGGTCATCAAATGGTTTATCATTTTATTTTCACATTATTTACAGAGTGTGTTTGCAAAAGAAAAGGAATTTTAGGAGCACCGTTCAGTAACTTAAGAGATGAAAACATTTTTAATCATTAAAGGCTGTGAACATATACAATCTACTATTCACAGGTGACAATGATTATTAATTAATGTAGGCTTTGTAACACTTCATTTTACTTATACTTCACTTCATTTCTCATTTCATTATCCTAAGCCCAGAAATAATTCATTCTGTGAGCAGCCAGTAAAATCACAGCCACAGGAATTGCTCCAAACTCTCATGGCTGATCTAATTGAATTAGTTTGTGTAAAATCCTTTGGATTTTATAAATTTGGTTCTCTAGGTTTTTGGGGAAGTTTGTCCTAGACCAGTGATGGCGAACCTATGACACGCGTGTCAGAGGTGACACGCGAACTCATTTTTTTGGTTGATTTTTCTTTGTTAAATGGCATTTAAATATATAAAATAAATATCAAAAATATAAATCTTTGTTTTACTATGGTTGCAAATATCAAAAAATTTCTATATGTGACACGGCACCAGAGTTAAGTTAGGGTTTTTCAAAATGCTGACATGCCGAGCTCAAAAGGTTCGCCATCACTGTCCTAGACAGTTCCTACATTTTGCTGGCAGTAGAGCAGGATAATAAAGGAATAAAAATAAGCCTTCCCTCAAAGAATGAGATGAATATGAAATAAATAACTGCAATTCAATATGCTCTAATTATCAGATACCGAGTTTTATATTTGATTTTATTTCAGCCTATGATAATGATTGTGGCCTTTCTTGTTCATGTGCCGACAGCTTTAAATGACATTTGTTGAACTGTATAAGCTATTCACTTATTCTTTAATGTATCTATTCTATGAATATTTTAGGAGCCCTATTTCAGTGTTCTAGGTGCTAAGCTACTTTAGTGAGCAAAAACAAGAGGTACCCCCTCTCCCAATGGAATTTTTAGTTAGATGAAGGTTTGTTGGGATAGATGTGTAAACAGTATGGATAACTGATTACCATTCATGCTGATTAGCACACTTTAAAAATTAAATATATATGTATTTATCTATGTACATATTTGTGCATAGAAACCAGGGAAGGCATTTTCTTTTCTCCAATTTATATACCTACACTTGGATTATAAAAGAACATTGAAAACAGAGAGCAGGACAAACTAAGAAACAAAGGATAGAGTTTTGTTTGTTAATTTATTCAGAGTATTATTTCTTAAAGTGTCTTTGGTTTAATTGATCTCAACTGGCATAAAAGCATTGATTGATGTAAAACTTTTTTTGGGGGGGTGGCCTGGAAACATTTTGTACAAATTAGTAAGGTGGGGTTGGAGCAGAGATGGTTCATAGAAGAGTATTCCCCCCCCTTTTTTGGTCTCCCAAACAGAGAATATAATCAAATAGGTATGAAGTGTCTTAGACTTGGGAATATAATCTCCTACATGCTTGCCCACGCTGCCCCCACCATGGATGGACCTCTGGCTTCTGTCCGGAGGAACCCAGAATGAGGAGAGGAGTCCCCTCGCCAGCCACCCTGCTTTGGGGCTGACCTACCGATAAGCCAGCCTTGGTTTCAGTTCTGCCTTTGCTTCTCGGATCTGGAGATTAGGTGTCTTTCTGGAGCAAATCTAGTCACATGTGTCAGAAGACCTCCACATGAGTATATCTTTTGACCCAGCATTGTCCATTTCAAAGAATTTCTTAGTTTCCCTGTCTGTCAAAAGGGTATAATGATGCTCACATGATAGGCTTGCCGGGAGAATCATACGGGTAAGCATTAACACAAGCTTGGCATGCAGTGAGCACTCAGTAAATGGGAGCTGCTCTTATCATTAATGCTAATGTTACTTTATTACTGTTATTCAAAGGAAATAATTAGGTAACACTGCAGAGATTTGTCTACGAGGGTAGCATCACAGAATTGTTCACTACAGCAGGGGGTGGGACCCAAGCTCACTTTTCCATTATTAACTTATAATTGTATTGGGGATTAATACTTACTGATATGAAAGAAAAAAACACCACATCATGACCTATTAAGTACTGGCCGCTGTGGCTCCGTTGGTTGAGCATCGACCTCGGCACCAAAAGATCAGCAGTTTGACTCCCGGTTAGGGCACATGCCCGGGTTGCAGGCTTAATTCCTGGTAGGGGGTGTGCAGGAGGCAGCCTATCGATGATTCTTTCTCTTCCTTCCTCTCTATAACAATCAATTTAAAAATCTTTAGAAGAAAAGCAGATGAAAGATTATTTTTTTAAACTATATTTTTATTGATTTCAGAGAGGAAGGGAGAGGGAGAGAGAGAGAGAAAAACATCAATGAGAGAGAATCATTGATTGGCTGCCTCCTGCACGCCCTCCCTCCCCCCCCTCCACTGGGGATCAAGCCTGAAACCTCGG